ATTTTCTCTAAAAAAAAAGGACTAATGTACCATTTCTACGTGGCTTTCCAATTGATCAATTAAATGAATTTCCACATGCAATACAACATTGTAATTATGGGTATAATTAATTTTATATTTGAAGATTTTATTTTTTTCTGTGTTTTCATTAATTATTCATTTTAGACAATCAGAAGTAATTGCTCATGATAGCCGTCTTATGAGACATATATTTATTGTTAAAAATGGTTCACTTCACGTATGGAAACGTCTTGATCCTGATGGTTATATTCCAAAATTAAGCAAACAAGATTTAGATCAAATAAAAAATGAAAAAAGTTTAGCGATTTTTGTATTGAAGAAAAGAAAAACGAAATATTTTGTTTGTTGATTTAGTGGTTGATGACAATGATGATGATAGTCATGAAGCAACAGCAGATGATAATGCATTATTTTCGGAGATTCAACTTAGTGGTGGTATTGATGAATCAAGTGGAACAACTCTTGATACAGATTCTCGTTTAAGTCGTTTACGTCGTTCAAAAGCTATTGATGGAAAAATATCATCAGGTTTACGAAGAAACTCAGATAGTATTTTTAATTTTGAAAAAGTAATAAAAGTATTTCTTTTTTTTGTTTTGTCATAAAGTTATATTTGTTTGTTATTTTTTATCAAAAAAGAAATTTCCTGGAATTTCTGATAAACGAGAGAGATTACCATTAATTGATTATGATCAATTATTAATGAATCAAATTAATAATGAACCGATTTTACCATTAACAGATAACACACTGAAACCTAGCCGACTAACGGTAAAAATTAACAAAAAGAAAAAAGAAAAAGAAAAAGAAGAATCTTGTTGATATAAATAAATATTTAATTGATTTAGATAAGTACACAATCAAAATTAATATTTCCTAATAAAACAACTCATATACATATTAAAACATTAAATGAAGGTCAACATTTCGTAAGTTTCAAGTAAATTTTTATTTTTTTCGAATTTTCTTTTTTTGATCTTTAGGGTTTAAATGATATGCTTTTTCCAAATCAATCAGCTTTAACATTAGTTAGTAATAAATGTGAATGTCTACTTTTACTTAAATCATCATTTGTACGTATTGCAACCGATCAATATAAACAAAATATTCGTCGAACTGAAATTCCATTTCCATCGGATTCACATTTTTATAAATCATATCATAACAATGAACTATGGAAACGTTATTCAAAAGAAGTTTATAAAGATGCATATGAAAGAATGAAAAAACAACATCAACAACCTATAAAACGTCCATCGAGTTTATATCAAAATAAAAAAACAATACTCAAATCTTATCAAACCTATATAATTTAATAGACTCTTTTCTTTTTGTTTACAATATTATATTCATTTATTTTCTAAATTATTATTTCATTAATAAAGGAGTACAGTCAGTAATGCCTACTTCGACACTACTTTTTTTTGTCAAAACTATCGATATGGTAAAGAATTCTTTACGCAAAAAAAACAACAACTAGTCTTATTGATGAATGATAAGTATATGTGTGTGTGTGTGTGTGGAATAAAGAATTGCTCTCTTCGTTCTCTTTGTGTTTTGTATTCTATTATGATTCATTACTATTTTACTACATAACACAAATGATTACCAGTTTTCACTATCTCTATGAGTGACATACATAAAAAAATGATTTTTAATATTTATTTATACTAGAGCCTTTATTCATAACAACATTGTTATGTCCTTGTTCATGATTCAAATTAACTCGGTCATTAGAACGAAACCAAAAAGAATAACAAAAATATTACTATAGTCCAATGAATTAAAAGTTTAAGTTGAGGGTATGTTCATATCAAGTTTTATTCTAATACTATGAGAAGGAATTATAATGTGTTATTATAGAGGAGCGCAAAACATGAATTAGAATATCTAATAACATGCACCCATTCAATATAGAACAAACTCATTTAAAGAACTAAGCAGAAAAAAGAAAGGTAGCATAGGTACCACCAGAGTGGAATTCATGATACATAAAACAGATACTACAATACACATAAATGTAATTGATGAAAGTTGATTGTGTCTATAATAGAGTAGAGTAGATCTTGTTGTGTTACGATCCACGCTCATCTTCCAGTTTCTCTTGTTTTTCATATTCATCCTTCATTTCACCTATAAAAACATCCTGTTCGTTCACCTGATCATCTGTTACTACAGTAGAAGATTTGACTATTAATTCATCTATTGTACCATCGAGCTGAATGTCTTCTTTAATATATCTGTTAATAATACCATGCACATGTTCAATAACCTTCAAAGTGAAGTCTGGTGTAGTACCAATATGTTTATCGTCATCATCCTGAAAACCCTATATTGTATGGTGTCTTCATTTTGATTGTCCTAATTCAAGAAAGGAAGTATAATATAAAAAGTTATCCCGGAATATGTCAGTATATAGTCTTGTATCATATATGAAATTTGTTATACAAGGTCTACTGTACAAATAAAAATCAAACTTGTAATAACACATGAAAAATCGATATACATGAAATTATTTAGGGAATATGTACAAATAAAAAGAGATAAAAATCTAAGATATACACTATAGATAGAGGACTAGTAGAGGATTAGAATGGTAGATATATGACCGATCCATATCAGTCTATAGTACATGAAAAGCAACAAAAGGATTATCATGGAATGAAAATGAATATTAAAAAAAAAGTCAAAATTTTACTCGGACTTTTAATTCATCAGATTATAGTAGGTTATAAGTAATAATTTCATGTTTTTTTTAAGAAAAAGATGGATTATCAATCGAAACATCTTGAAAATCTAACAGATCGACTAAAAAATCGATTATGAGATTTCTATGTAGTTGAATAACGCTCGTTGTCTACTTTCGAAAAAAAAGTACGACTTATCGAAATTCTGATGCTTTCTCACGGTTTTAAACAGAAATGACTGATAATACTGAAATAAGGAAAAATGATTTTTTTTTAATAAAAATGTGAGTTATTGTTGCCTTTTGAACTTTTTCTAAGATTTCTCATAGTGCAAAATCTTGAAAAAATATGTGAAATAATTCGGAAATGCTATAAGCCTTCGAACAATTGGAGTCGTACCCTGTATTTCTTTTTCTACTAGCTTTCATTTCACTGTGTAATTATTGTGACAGTATTATGTAAAATGAGACGACTTCTGACATACATATGCGTTCTCTCTCAGTATTCGGTTTCATTATTTTACGTTAATAATCATTTCTTCCTTTTACTCATCATTTGTCTATTTAAGCAGCTGGTATTGTCGGTATGGATGTGAATAGATGACATAAATAACCATACTCATATACCTTCACAACTTATATATTTTTTTCTATCCTAGATTCAGATTTTTAGACACTATATAAGTACACACACAAGTCTTCGTTTGATCTGCTATAATTGATAATGAATGGTAGACTACGATCGATGTGTTTCCTCGACCGTTTTTCTAAACAGAAACATCAGTTTTCAAATGTAAACTTTGTTTGACATTTTTTTTCAAAACGAGGTTTTTTGCTCTTGTTCTACTTGTACGTACTACATTTCTCATCCATTTCACATGCTAGAAAAGTTTAAAAGGTTTTAAATTGAAGAAAAAATTGCGCTTCACAACTTAGCAGAGCCGGATATTTTACTTTTAACTTAGATTTTGAGATAAATGGACAAATCCATATACAGACATCTGCGGCGAATTATCCTCGTACCATTTACAAAATGTGAAAACAACTTATTACTGTACCAAAGGATTTTAATTTAGATATGATTTTCTGTTTTATTTTCTTGTATGTACTTGTTTTCTTAATTGAAGAATATAATTTATTTTTTTAAGTTTTCTTTTCTGAAGATATATTTTAAAAATCTTCGACAATAAATAGTAATTGTCAGCAAAGAAGAAAAACACACATTATGTAATGATAAAGATTGATTTAATCAAAAGAAAAATATATCGATAAAAACAATTAATAAACTCAATCGATAGACAAAATATGTTATGATTGGAACAGCTTTTTTTAATCTTTTGTCAAGATCAATGACGCAGGAGATCGAAGAAAATGGAAAGGTTAACGTGTGAGAGCTAGTCCATCTGAATATCTTGAGAGAAAAAAAAAACAAAATGTGTCAGATTAAAAAAAACACCACAAAATACTTACATTCTTTATTTTTTCTATCTTGCATGTTTTCGTTGGTTTTAGTGATTCACAGAATAATCTATTTGAGAAAACGAACGCCTTAACAAAAGAGGATCACTAAACAAGAGAAAGGAATGGAAAATTAATATTGTTTCTCGTTTTTGATAACGTGTGAAGATTTTGGTTTTTAAGCTTGACAAATATGCCTTCGAAATTTTGTTTTCCTTTTTTTCTTTCCATTTAATCAATGCGATTCTATGTGTCACAATAATCATTAAGTACGAAGTACACAACCGATTTCTGGAAGAAAGCAGTCCCACGCGGTCCCCATTTCGTTCTTTCAGCCCTCATCTGTTATAAAGCACTGAGTACAAAAGATGTTATACGAAACAAACTTTTATAATTTTAACCTACATAGTCCGATGATATAATTGTGATCATTATTAACATATATTCAAAAAAACATCTGGTAAAGAACGAAGAAGAAAAAGGTAGAAGAAAAAAAACGAACTATTTAAACTAATGAAAGACAATATTTTCTTGACTCTATGTTTGAGAAGTGCACTCAATCATCGTTAAAATCATAATTGTATTTCAGTAACAATCTTAAACAATGCAGTTCGATGATTTCTATAAAAATATAGAAGCATTTGGTCGATATCAAAAAATCAAATATTTTTTAATATGTTTAACATATATGTTTCCTCCAATAATGGTTTATACATG